ACTCATTAAAAAGAAACAGACTTATGAGTCCAGTTTTGTTCTGCTGTAGGTTGTTGTTTAAATAGGTGGTAACTATGGATTATGTTGTATTAATAATTGGCACAAATCAATGTGCTAATCATCTAATTAAAAACATCCGCAAGTGCACAAATCTATTGGAGTATAGATTTGTAAATACGGAATCGTTCTCACGAGGAATTGGAGGCTTATACAAAGATCCAGTTTGAGTACGTAAAAAACACTTATTTAATACAACACAAAGGTAAAATATAAATCGGATACTAGAAATGAGTAAAGAAAAGTAAAAGAAATTAAACAAAACAAGATACCAAATGTAAACACAATCAACATTTTGTATCACTCCTGTATCACTACTTTATCACTACTGTATCACCAATTTATCACCGACGTATCAACAGTTTGGCAGAGAGGAATTTATCCGGACAACAATTTCCCCTGTTTTCCAACTTCGACATCTGTTACGTTTTTCACCGTAACTTTGCAACAATTAATTCAAATTTTATGCTCTTTATATGGTTGGATTCAGCATTAAAAACTAAAGAACCTAAAGTGGACTAAATGTCAAAAACAGTTACAAAAGTGTGCAAAATTAAGTGGAAAGAACACTCAAGATTTCAAACAACACACACAAACGAAGGGGGGGAGGTTTTGATTCAAGTGACCTAATTCTAATGCTTAAATGTAACCGATCTCTAATTTTAACAAGATTAACAAATGTGATTATCAAAGTGCAACTTAATATGGTGACAAACACTAGGGTTTTCAGAATCCACCCTAAACAATCCTACTCATGTTTATGGATACTCAAGTTATGAATTATAGATACATTATTGATGAAAATGTTCGCAATCAAGACCGGGTTTAGTGGCTCAAAACGCATTGATTCTCTTTAAAATGCTAAATATTGAAAATTTGGTGTCAAGAGCTTGAACCCTTAACTTCCAAATTGAAATTTGAACTCTAAAGTTCTAAACCACAAGAAATTTGGTGTCAAGAGGACTATATCTGTTATCTCTAAAATGCTGATGAATGTTCACACACCTTTTACTCGAGTTGTTGCTAGCACATGGGATGTTTAGATTGATGGATCCTTCTGAGTGCCTAGGTTGTCACATAGTTCTCTTTAAGGCTTGCAAGTTTTAATAACACATGTGATTTGTGATAAGTCTGTGCTCGGCTTGTTTGTTCATGGGTCTACTAGTCATATAATTACTAGGAATAGTTATCATTGTTGTCTTAAATCTGTTTATTGGGGTTTTAATTTACCCCTTTCACCTGAGTACTAATTTCAGGATGAAACTCACTGCCCTTGTGCAGTTGTCTTTCTTCCCCACTACATTTGTTGTCTATACTTTTGTTGAGTTAGATCTTTAATTATTCTCTTTCACTTCAATCCTTTATTTTATTTAACATATTAGGTAATGCTGATTAATTGTGATGGGTATACATGGTTTCTTTTTTGTTTTGTGTATTTAGACATAAACAAGTATAAAATAATATTACTTCAGACTTTATAAATGTAATCTGTCTAATTTGACAGTTTTGGGATGCCATGGCTGGACTTAGTTGAAATATGCAATTCTTTTCCAGTCTGTTGTATTTATAGTTTTGGTCACATTCTTTTCAGGAAGCTGAGAAGCATCTATCAGATATGGTTGTATCCAAGGCACTGGTGGCCAAGATTGGCCGGCCAATAGGAATAGTCTGTTTTCAAACTGCAAAGGATAGCAACGATGTTCTTAATTCGTGGGCTACGAACTTGGAGAAATTGCTTGATCTTGTTGAGAAGAGCTGCCACCAAATACAAAAAAGAAACCATGGTTCACAAGGCTGCTCTCAACGTTTGAATCACAAATTTCAGGTATAGATCTTCTGTGTGCGGCATGCTTATTTATGTACTTTTTCGAAAATCAAATGGAAATTCAGATAAAGTGCCATTTCCAATGATGACCTTTAACCATGATTGCAGGTAGGCCGCACCTAATCTTTTGTTTCGCGTATTAAAGAGTTCCTGGATTCAAGCATTTGGATAAACCTGTGTTTAACTGGGTTGATGAGGCATGCATGTGTATCAATTTATTTGTTTTGCTAGTGTTATGCTTCTTGAAACTAAATTGAAGATTGTTGTATGCTACCGGCACATCCCTTGCTAGTAGGTAACCAAAGGAAAATTTGATCGGCTTAATTTGATTCTGGCACTGGAAAGAAATTGCCTGCTTTCACTTGTTAACTATGTTCCCTTGTTTAAGATTCCTTGTGTTCCACTTGTTAACTATGTACTGCCTAATATTTCCTGTAGCTTTGTGATTTTAGAGTATCCGCAATGATGCTCTCTATTTCTTAGCTAAAATTTAGCTAAAAATATAAGAAAGCTATTTTAGGAGCTCACTAAAAAATTTCAACTCCAACCATACTCCCTAATTTGGAGAGTCATAAATGCTATAACTCTTTTTTGATTGGTCCATCTCTATTAAAAAAAAAAAAAATAGTTAGCATTAAATAAAGGTTTGAAATACTTATTAAATAAGGCAGCATTAAATTATAGGGAGCCACTAGGAGTACTTTCTCTCTCCTCAGATTTAGGAGCTCCTAGAGGACTCCCTATTTTAGGAGGTGGATAGGGAGCATGGTTGGAGTTGCATTTTTACAATTCCTCCCTAAAATTTGTCTAAGGAGGTGGTTTAAGGAGCCCATTGCGGATGCTCTTAATTGCCATAATATTTGCAACCCAGCCCTGACCCTTTTATTTTATCCTTCCCAAAAGTCTAATTTCTACATCTTTAGTTGTCCCAAACCTAATATATATATTTCTTTTGTGTAGACATTGGGCTCAAGTGGTGATACTTTTGTTTCTTTGTTTTCAGTTTTCATTTTCTTGTTAAAAGATGGAAGGATTTTATTTATCTTTTATTTTGAGAAAGGTGAGAGATAGAGGTGAAGTAAGGGAGAATGAATGCAAAAACCTAAAAGAAAAAAGAAAAGATTAATGGAAATTGTTCTTAGTTTTTATATGAATTTTAATTAACGTTTCTTGGGTAGAATTAATTAAAAACAAAATTTGAAAGGCTTAAGTGGTATCACCCCTTCGTTGGTTTGTTGATCACCTTTGTATATGCATAATCGTAAGTGTATAATAAATAAGGATTTTGATCCTCTACATTTAATATTTACTCATTTATATGAATTTAGAGCAATTTTAATCATTTGATTAATTTAATAAAGTTTAATTAGTCCACGTCATCAAAATTATATTATAGTAAAAACTCACTATTTGTTGTGACCATCATTTTCCCCTTGCCCATCTTTAATGAGATTAATTTTTATTTTTATTTTAGTGTTAATCAATATCCTGGAGGGCCTGGACTTGCAGACACGTAGTGCTCACATGCCGGCCATTTCTTCTATGATCCAACTTCAACCCCCTTATAATTTATATTATATATTTTCGAGTTTTAGTCTCTGCACATTCAACTTGCAATATAATTAAATTTAATTTAAAACCCAAGAAGAGTATAGAGTGAGTCACATACAACATTATAATTCAAAAAAGTAAAAATAACCAGGAATAAAATGAAAAAAAGAAAAGAGCCAAAGAATTGGCCAAAAGATATTCGAATGGTTAACATTCAAGGGCTTGGCTTTGCTTTGCATTAGGAGTCCGGGAAACTACAATAAAAATAAAATTGAACCCGTTAAATAGGAGAGTTTTAATTTGATGTAATTATGATGACGTGGAATAATTCAATTCATTAGATTAAATGGTTGAAATTTCTCTAAATACGTATAAATGCACGAATACTAAATATAGAAGCTCATGATCCAATAAATAGATATAGTGTTTATTGCTGTTTCTCAGGAAAAAAAAAAAACAAAAAACAACAACAACAATTGGTGCCAAGTATAATGCATTCGAAAATGTGTTGAAAATAGAGTGCAACTACTAGAGTAATCCCAATTCGAAATTGGTTTAAATTTATTTAACATAATAAGAGGCTCTTGTTATAACAAATATGCATACAATCGAAGTTGCAAGTAAATGGGGAATTGATTGCCAGGTGTTTGTGCCTAATAAATCACGGCCATGAGCTGGCCGAAGGAGCCCCTTTTCTCGGCCTTGGCACTTGCTCATAAAACTGAAACGCAGCGTTTCAACAGGGTGCTTTGCCTTCCTAAAGACAAAAGAAAAATGCTAAGGCATGATCCATTCGGCCCCTACCCACGCCGAGGCCGAACAAAATCACGGCCAAAAGCATTAAAGGCAAATCATCACGTGACAACAGGGTCCCAGGCTTCATTTAATGAAGTAGTGCCTGTTTAATGCAGCAAACCCACTGGCCACAAATAAGCATTTAATGCATGAGGGAAGGTGGGAAGTGAGCCGAGATGATCAGGCCTTAGCATTTTTCTTTTGTCTTCAGGAAGGCAGAGCGCCTTGGCGAAACGCTGCGTTTCAGTTTTACGAGCAAGTGCCAGGGCCGAGAAAAGGGGCTCCTTCGGCCAGCTTATGGCCGTGATTTATTAGGCACAAACACACGCCTACCGTTCGGCACGTTAGGATGAACGGTTTGGGAGGGTGAGTGAAAACTCAACCTTGCACGCCTACCGTTCGGCAAGTTGGCCGCTGGAGCTGAATGTAGATGGTGTTGATTCTCTAGTGCGAGTGGGTGTTTTGTTTGTCGCTTAGATTTCTATGCACGCATGGTGGAGCCTTTAATGCTTGTGCTCGACATGTGGTGTGAGGAAGCTCGAAAGGTCGCGTCGTTTCGTATTCCAATGCTACCTTCGTCTTATAAATAATATGGAGGGTTGCATAGAAGGGTTACTTAGCGTGTGAGAGAAAATTCGAGGCTTGAGAGAGGTGATTTCTGGCATTTATTGCATGTATGTTTGTTTTCATGTTGTATGCCGAATGTTATTAGCCCGAGGTGTATTGTCGATGGCAATTAGCCTGAGGCGTATTACCGAAGATAATCCAAGATATGGTGCCTCATGCTAGAAGAATTGTTAGACCCGTCTACCGGAGGCCATATCCGGAGCATTTTGATCAAGAGGAATTTCCACAAGGATTCAAAGTTTCAGATTTTACATTATTTTCAGGAGATGGACACCAGTTGACCATGGAGCATATTGGTCGATTCACGGCTCAATGTGCGGAAATCGGATATCGCGAGGTCTTGAAATTAAGGCTATTCCCCAGCACCCTCATAGGGGCTGCTTTTTCATGGTATGTGAAACTTCCTCAGAATTCTGTTCCAAATTGGCAGACCAATGAGCAAATCTTCCACGAACAATTTTATTGGCCGGAGCCAGATGAGTCAATGGCTGACTTGGCCAAGATGCACCAAGGACCAAACGAGTCAGTCCATGAATACTTGGGGAAATTCAGAGAAACAAGGGCCAGATGTACGGTCAACATGCCTGAACATGAGTTTGCAAAGTTGGCTCAAGGTGGGTTGTTGCTCGATGTCCAGAAAAGGTTCGAGGGTATTGAATTCCACGATATTTATAACCTCCTACTTCAGGTGGATCGATATGAAGCTCTTTTAAAGGAGGAACAACAAAAGAATTGGCCGACATCTCGATCGACTTTTTATAGAGATCTACCAAAACCTTTCACATCTAGAACCATGGCTATCCATGTGGTGGATGTCGAAAATGTGGACTCGAATAAGGCAGATGAGGAAATCTTCCTAGAAGAAGAAGAAGAATCGACGAGGATAAACTTGGCTGAAATCGTGGTCAGCGAACCACACGTATGCAAGGCTTTGTCCAAAGCCTCCAAGGATCATAGGCCAATAACGGTCCAGATTTCTAAGTTTAGCGGAACTTCTCAAAAGAGAGTCGGAACCAAGTCCTATACCTTTGACATTTCGAAAGCCGAACTAATCTTTGGCCAACTTTTAAAAGAAAAGATGATAAAGTTTCCAAATGGTCATGATATTCCGTCGGCTTAAGAACTTAGAAACAAGGCCTTTTGCAAATGGTAGTGTATGGTCTCACACGACTAACAATTGCCTTATTTTTCGGAATGTCGTGCAGGATCTCATTGATTGAAAGATCTTGAAATTTCCAGAGAAAGCTACAATGGGTGTTGATCAAAATCCATTCCCAAATGCTCAGGCCAACATGGTGAATGCCAACTTCCCAAGGCTAGATCAACCTTGACCAAGATTAGACTTGCTTGGCTCAGGAAAAGCAGTAGCTGAGAGAAGAGCAAGGGAAAACCAGATGGATCCTAAGGCGAAGGGTAAGGCCAAAATGTACCCAGAAGTGACAAAGGCTCTAGATGAGAAAATTCCAATTATGGAAGAACCTCCCAAGGCTATTATGCAATGCAGCCGATGTCAATGTTAGGTCTCATTGGAGGTAGTTCTACCAAAACCTAATGAGCCAGCCAAGAACTGACTAAGGAGACAATCAAGGATCAAGCCCAGACAGGTAGACCAAAAAGTGTTGGAAAATATGATCAAAAGTTCAGCCGGGAATTACAGCCCACATAGCCCAAAGGGCAAGATGGAGATGAGACCGAATAAACGACCATTACATGAGTACCAAGATAGGTATGAGAGGCCACGATATTAGCCTAAGATAAGAAATCATCAAATGCCACTAAAGTATGAAGATGTTGATTCGCTGAACCCAAGTCGAGACAAAAATAGAAGCATGTAGGTTATTGGCACTAAAACTGAACAGATAGAGATGAGTGCAACTTACAAGTGATGTGGACGATCTAGAGATCGATTGAGTGTCAGACGCAGATTCTTCTTGTCCTTGGATGCTGATCCAAGGAAGCCGAGACTCGTAAGGTCTATGGAACCGGTGTGGAACCAGCCTAAGACCCTCCGATGCCAAAGTAAGTTTGTTTCTAAAAGCTTTTGCTGTTGACAATATATGTAGCATAAAAGTCAAGCTGAAAAGTCTTACCCATGTATTGTAGTGAAGGGGCCTATTTATAGAGGGCATTTGGTATGCTCTTAGTACTTAATTTCGATGTGGGACTCGTGGGAGGGCCCTATGAGGTTGACACGAGTCTTTAGATATTTCGGGCGGGCCCTTCGAGGTTGATTTTGTAGAATCGGTAGGGGGTACCGATTGTGGACTTTGCTTAGGTGGCATCGACCGTTCGCTGCTTGGTTGGGGACTTGAATATGGCTTCGGCATTCTGATCCGGACATGATGGTTTCGTTGTTGCCGATGGTGGCATGTAGTCCCCCAAGTGCCCGAGCGAGTGAGCTTGGAAAAGAGACGGCATGATGTACCGAATGGTCCGAGAGGTGTGAAGGTCTGGTTTTAGGAACGCTTGCCGTTTGGCACGAGAGGTGAGTGAAAACTCATCAATGTGCGCTTGCCGTTCGGCACGAGCGGTGAGTGAAAACTCATCAATGTGCGCCTGCCGTTCGCCAGTGGAGTTGCGCTCGAAAGTGGCGAGAGTTGCAGTGTCTGGGAAGTGGAAGCGTCTCTGAGGATTGGAAACGTTTCAAGTGACGACGGCTGGACGCCTCCATGCATGCGTGACACGTGTCGGCATGGCTGTGAAGAGTCGCGTCGTTTCCCAATGCTAGGTTCGTCCTATAAATGTGAGGAAGGGACGATAGTTGAAATACTTGAAGTTTTTGAGAGCAATCAGAGATTGTGAGAGGCGATTTCCGGCGACTGTGCGAAGGCGTTGTAGGCGATTTTCAGCGACTAGGAACCACCGTGTGTACAAGGTATGTTGCTGTGTTTTCGATTTTTAGTGAATCAAAGTGTTGAATTCGTTGAATTTTTGTATGAACAAAGTATGAACAAGCATGAGCAAGCATGAACATAAGTGTTTAGGAGGTAGAATAGGATTTTGATTCTAGCATGGCACTTAGTTTCCCTTCGTGTTTTGTTTGTAGATGTCAGACACCGAATCCGAGAGTAGGCGTAGTCCGAGGGCATACGAGGATGAGTCGTCCTTGGGGAGTTCGTCCGAGGGGAGTGAGAGTACCGATTCTGGGAGCTCTTCGAGTTGTGAAATAGTGGAAGGGGCAGGGGTGCGCACCGAGGCTGGTGGTACTTCGCGTAGGGTGCCTGAAGGTAGTTAGCCTTCGACTTCTGGTCGGACGTGTCTGTTGCTGCGGCAGGGGAGGGTGTGCTGAGGGTTGTTGCGGGAAAGCAACGGATCCCAATGGCGAAGCCGAAGGAACTGGTGTTCGGAGTAGATCATTTAGAGCCGAACGTCATGACCGAGGCTGAACTCGCTAAGATTCGGGCGGAGGATCATATCCCGGAATCGGTAGT